TAATCCAATGATTCTCAAATGTGGTCCCAGACCTGTAGCCCCAGCAGTTCCTGGGAACTTGTTAGGAATTTGAGTCCTTGAGCCCCACTTAACCCAGACCTATTGTACCAGAAACTCCAGGAGAGGGGCTTAGAAATGTTTTAAGAAGCTCTCTTCTGAGGAGGCTGACACAGAGGATCACTTGAACCTAGAAGTTCAAATACCATTTGGACAACCTAGCAAGACCCTATTTCTAAAAATAAAAATAAATTTTAAAAAGAAGTCTCTCAAAATGTCCTGATGCCCACCTGCTTGAGTGTGAGAATCACTACTCTAACCTTATTAAGATCCCTCAGAAAAGAGAATAGGTACAGTGCTCTCTGGCAGTGGTTTCTTCTCTGGGAGGCTGGGGCAAGATCACCTAATTCTGACATCTTTCCTGGCTAATGACTTGAAAACATCTGACTTCAGCTTTGGCTTAAGCACCAAACCATCTCAAAACATGGCCTCCCGGAAATGCCATAGAGAGTAGGAAGAATCCTTTGTATCCGACAGGCCAGGATGCATGTTTTGGCTTCCTGCCACAAGCCTCAGCTTGTACCTTCTATAAAATGGGCTTATAATTGTATCTGCCTTACCTAGCTGTTATAAGGATTAAATGACCTAAAAAAAGTAGTGTTCTCTAAGGGTCAGAGATGAATGCCCCTTAAAAGAACACGATTATTAACATTAGCAGTATCATCTATTATTTGGCCCAATCTTATAAGTATGGATTCCTAATCTGGCATCCACCCAGCCTGTTTCTTGTGTGTATTCCAGCATAAGCAAAGGCAATGCCAGGAATGGAGTGGTTTGCCTGGTCAGATGATGGCCTGTTTTCTGGGCATAGGGAAGCAAAACAAAATTATCTGACCTTTTAGGATTGCAGCAAATAGTCAGAGCTTCCTTCCTCTTTTCTTCTCTTTCCTTTTTTTTCTGAGCAAAACTAGGAAATTATACTTGAACTTGCTAGAGGCTCCAAATATAATTATTATTTGCATATTTGACATCTAGCATTGAAGCAGGAAATGCCATTTCACTAATGGGTAATTGTGTTAGTCAGCTCAGGGCCTGGTGTGGTTTGAATATTTGCCCAGGGCAGAATGGAACCTAATGGAACCTCTTTCTATAAAGTACTGTTTGATTAGTGTGGTATGTGAGTGCTCTTCCTGCTGTAACAAGCTCTGTCTCTCATTCACTGGCCTATTGAAATGTTTGACACCCAACAAAGGAAGATTCCTCCATATGAGGCCTTTCTAAACTTCCAACACAGACACATGCAATCATCCTGAGAGACTGGGTCTTCTGCAAGTGTGGCAATTCACCTTAAAAGCATGCCAGCAAAACCCAAGATCTGTGTGAATCATGCCTAACAGGAAAAGCATTGACCTTAGTCCAGAATAGGATGGGGCAAGGCAACTGCAAGGTCAGGGTCTAAAGGGTTGCTAGACTGGGAGTGAAGCTAGCAGGAACCATAATCTGGAAGTGAAAAAAGTCAAGTGCAGGGATGTTAGTGAAGGTGGGGTGGTGCACAATGCAAGCAGATAAGAGTGATACTTAAAGAAAGCCATTTCAGGTGAGGATCAGGAACCTGACTGGGGAGATAAGGTGGGAGCAAGAGGAATTCATTTATTCATTCGACTTGCGTTGGCAGAAACTGAACAATAAGGGGCTAGTTATCCCGGCTTTAATAATTAACATTTAAATATGAACAAACACTTGGCCAAAGTAGGCATTCAATAAATGCTAACCACTACTTTCAGGGTTGCAATTCCCGATTGCTGTCCCATAGCCCAACTGTATCAACTGATTCCTGTATGATTGTCAATGATAGAAATGCATATGAACTATTTCAGACAAGAGGAGGATGTATTGGCTTATATAACTAAACTGTGGGAAGAGCTCATGTGTGGCTGGATCTCAGGAGCAAATGGCACCAGCCAGACGTTTTTCTTGCTATCTCTCATCTCATCTCTCATCCATTCTTCTCAGTGTCCATTTCATCCAATTATTGAATGGAAACACGGCTGCCCACATTCAGTGTCTCAGAGAGCAATGGAAAGTCCCACACAGAGACCATCTCTGATTGGCCAGTTTGGGTCAGGTGCTCACCCGTAAGCCAATAGCAAGGTCATGTGAGACAAGATGGCATCTCCCATTTAACGACATGCTGGGAAATGAAATGAGGCTCTTTCTCTAGGGGAAAAAAAAGGAATAAGTGGATAACCAAGTTATCAACACAGTAGTGCTCACTATAGTCTACCTTTTGGTAGAATAAATGAATAAACGAATCCTTCTTGCTCCCACCGTATCTCCCCAACCAGCTTCCTGATCCTCACCTGAAATGCCTTTCTTTAAATATCTTTCTTATCTGCTTGTACCCTGCTCAGATAACCTAGCCTTCTTCCCAAAAGTAGCCCCCACCTAACACTCTACATCCATTTCATGCATGACTGAGAACACATTTACCCTGGTCCCAGCGCTGTCTACTGACATCATCAGCTCTGGACGCTTGTACCTGTAATCCCGAGAACTATGAACTTGTACCTGTAATCCCGAGAACTATGAACTAAATGATGCATTTAACCTCTCCTAACATTCCAATGTAAATAATGGAGGGAAAGAAAAATGCATAAAGAAAAGTATATGAGGAGATAATGACCAATTTCCAAATTCCATAAATACGTGAAGAACAAAATACTGCATAATCACAATGAAGACTCAAACTTAGGAAAGGGGAGCATCATAGTTAAGAAACAGACTAGGCTGGGCTTGGTGGCTCAGCCTGTAATCCCAGCAGTTTGGGAGGCTGAGGTGAATGGATTGTCTCCGCGGGTTCGAGACCAGCCCAGGCAACTTAGTGAGACATCATCTCTACAATAAAACAAAAATTAGCTGGGCGTGGTAGAGCCTGCCTGTAGTTCCGGCAACTTGGAAGACTGAGGCAGAAGGATCACTGGAGCCCAGTAGATCGGTGCTGGGGTAGCCGTGAGCTTGCCACTGCACTCCAGCCTGGGCGATGGAGTGAGACTCCAACTCAAAAAAAAAAAAAAAGAAAAGAAAAAAAGAAACAGACTAAATTGATGACACAAATACATATAGTGACTTGAACAAGATGGCTGCTTTTTTCTCTCTCATCTAACAGATCAGGGGTTGGCTGTAGTCTGGGCCATACAGACTCTGTTGCCCAGTCCTGCAAAGTTTTCCTGGAGATCATACTCCTTCTGTTTAGACAACCCATCTAGGGCGGGTGTCCCCATCCACATGTTCAAACTGCCACACATCATCACATCCATATGCCAATCCCAGAGAGGGGGAAAGATGAAGTGGAGAGCAGGTAATAGTCTCATAAAAATGTCACTAGAAGTTGCTCATAGCACCATCCCTTCTGCTCACATCCCATTTGGCTAAAACTTCCGGATTAAACAAAGCTTCAAGGAGAGGCTGAGAAATGCCATCTTCAGCTATTTAGCCTTTCCTAACTCAGGTGGAGTCTATTGGGGGAGTGACGCTGGGAACAATTAGCAGTCTCTGCCACAGGGTCCCTCTGGCCTGTAAGTCACATCCTTCTTCCCACACATAGGACCCCCACTTACCACCTCCCTAAGGGAGGCAACCCAAAGTCCCACCTGGTCTCTGCACCCAGCTCTAAGAGCAGGATCTCATGGTGCTGCACATCTCTTTCTCTCTCATCCAGACGTGACTCTGCTGGTCTAGTGGTCTGTAAACTAAGAAATAATTATCAGCCAGGCTCAGTGGCTCAGCCTGTAATCCTGCGCCTTGGGAGGCTGAGGCGAGTGAATTGCCTGAGCCCGCGGGTTCAAGACCCACCTCGGCAACTTAGTGAGACCTCATCTCTACAATAAATCAAAAAATTAGCCAGGTGTGGTAGCGCGCGCCTGTAGTTCCAGCTACTTGGAAGGCTGAGGCGGAAGCGTCGCCGGAGCCCAGCAGGTCGAGGCTGCTGTGGCCGGGAGTGGCCACTGCACTTCAGTCTGGGTGACAGAGTGAGACTCCAACTCAACAACAACAACAAAAAAGAAATAATTATCTGCCTCCCATGCCACACCCACTCCCACCATATATAACGAGGACTAAGAAGGGACGGCAATAAAATCTCTCATTAGGAAAGAGGAAGAACAGGGTAAAACATGGTAGTCACCAGTTCACGGCAGTTTTTAACCCCATTGTCAGTGTGAAGGCTCCCTGTCCTGGTTTATACTCCCTGCCCCTTTCTACTCTGGGGTAACCCTTGTTCACCATCTGTTGGGGCCCCTGGCTTTACCCTCTGAGAGCTTCTCTCTTGACCATTATTGTCCTCTAAAGTGGGTATGAAAGACAGTGTCCTCCTTGGGAGCACACAGCTCTCTCAGCACATTTATGGTGGAGTTTTAGGGGCCCGGGGATTTCTTTAGAGAATGAAAAATCACAGATTTTTTTATAGGCTAGACTGTGGCTTTGGTTATCCAATTCTATCAAAAACTCAGAAACCTCCTGATCTGTCTGCTTCCAGACACTTCCATATAGGAGCACCACACCCAAAGACCCCTTCTGGACATGGCTCTGAAACCCTGTCAACTCTCCTTCTTACTGACTAGCTTCTGTGCCTGGCCCACCACACTGTCTCATCTTAATAGCAGCCATTGAGGCACCTGGAACAATAGGCTGGGTTGGAAGCTAACACCCCATTTTTTTTTTTTTTTTGAGTAGGAGTCTCACTCTGTTGCACAGACTGGAGTGCAGTGGCATACTCACAGCCACTGCAACCTCGACCTGCTGGACTCAGGTGATCTTTCCACCTCGGCCACTACCATGGGTCAAAGAGTCTCTCAATGCTTCCTATCAAATTGTCCTTTCCTTCTCCCCACCTTGTTCAGAATAAGCAGTTCCCTCTTGCACTGGAATGGGGCAAGCCTCTTACTCCACACATGCAGCAGGAAGTGGTTTTATTGGTATAACACTGGACTTCCCTCTCTTCTCAGGGTGCAATGTAGAAAATGCCAGCTACCCGCTGGGCATCTGTGCTGAACGGACTGCTATCCAGAAGGCAGTCTCAGAAGGGTCCAAGGATTTCCTGGCAATTGCTGTCTCCAGGTGAGTGGGAAAACCAGGTTGCAGCAATAACCATTCACCTCTTCAGCCAACATCCCCCTTGCTTCTATCATTTACTCATTCCTTCCTTCCTTTGAGTATACTTACTGTGCACTTCTTGCATGCCAGGCACTGGGCCAAGTGCTGAGGATAAAGAGATAAATAAGAAATAGACTCTGCCCTCAGTGAGCCTTCAGAGCAGGTAAACAACCAAGGTAGCTCTCATCCAAGGCCATCATGTTCCTGTTCCAGCAACACAAAATACAGTAGAATTCCTACAAGATACAATAGGAAGGCAATGAAGAAACCTGAAGCTGAAGGGACTCCAAAAACACCTAGTATAGACTCCCTTGCCACCATCCCCATTTTACAGCTGAAAAAACTGAGGCCCAGAGAAGTTGAACAACTTTCCTGGGAGCTAATGGCAGAGCTGGGACAAAACTCAGGTCCCAGAGTCTCACTGCTCATTCTGCTGCACCACGCTGTGCCAGAAGACCGACACTCTTCCCTGCTCTCCTCAACCTGGTACTGGGACCTAAATGAGCCACTCAGCACCTTGAGGTGCCAGAACCCAGGTACAAAGACAAACTGGTGGAGTGGTAGCCAGGTAAACACTAGTTATGGTTCAGACTAATCAGATGCCAGCCCAAGTTCCAGTTGACCAAGAGCTCCCATCAATTCTCCCTAAATACCCCAAACACAAATATCCTAGCTCCCGTGAGCTTACCCTCCTAGTGAGCACATTGAATTCTTGTTGGCACTGGACCCAGACTCAATGATTTGGGGATTCAAGCATGTAAATGAACTGTTTTACTAATTGGGGCCCCATTAATTTAATGACTTAATGGTGAATTGCTCCTGGGTGTACCTTTGTACTGTCTATGAGAGAGTTTTCTCAGCAAGTTAATGGTGCAAAGAATATGACCTGGGAGAGGTTTGCCCCACCCAGGAAGAGGCTGCCTGGGCTGACCAAGTTGGTCTCCAGGAACTTCTGGCTGCATGGGTCACATCTGTGAGGGAATGAGCTCTTCACAATGGAGATAACACATGGCGGCAGAGCTGTGGCACCTCTCTGGCTGATGGTCAAGCTGCACAGACACAGGGGCTTAGAGCAAGGCCAGTGGAGGCCGTGTGGCAGAAGTAAGCCCCTGTGCCTTTGCTAAGATCCTAAACTTTGCCTCCGTCTGGCCCGAGGTGGTCCAGCTTTTTCATGGTTTATTTCTGAGTAATTGCAGCCAAGGGTGCGAGTATGGAGAAGGACCTGGCATTTAGGAGCCTTCCCTATGACCAAGGTCTGCCCTGGCTTCCCTTCAGCCTCTGGAGGAATAAATGAGGCTGTGCTGAGAACATTCTGTACAGATGAACAAGGATTAGGAGGTGAGTTATACTTATGGGAAAAAAAGGAGGGAAATAAATCCATTTCAAAGCTGATCCAAGGAAATAATGATATACTGGGGGAAAGAGGCCAAAGTCAACCAAAGGATAATGATGCCTTGCTCTGTTTAGAATTTTTCCAAAGGGAAGGCTTTTTCTATTGGTCATTATCTACTTTTAAACATGAGTATTGCTAGTGATGATTTGCAAATGTCCTTATTTACACAAAGCCTGCATTTTTCTACCACCCAACTGCTCTGCTCTGGGTATTCAGCCTGTACCGGCTTTCCCGAACCAGAAATGCAGTCATTATCTCACTAATGACTTGTTAAATTGAGAGCATGGATTTAGAGGATGAATGAGAAGTGCCAACTCCCTTGTTACCATTGGACACGTCTGAACAGTCTGCGAGAGCCCCTCCGAGGTCTCTAAGAATGGAAGCTGCACTCAGGAAAGGCCAGTGCGTTGCAGAACCCAGGATGGGACTGTTCACAGAGAGATAAACTTGCCCCACCAGGGTCCCCGGCAGTAATCAGTAGGTTTCCAGCCTGTCGAGTCTGAGAAGCATGGCCTCAGTATGTGACCAAGGTCCGTAGAAGCCAGGAAACTGCAAATACCTGGCAAAAGGCAGGACAGAGTGAAGGGCAAGGGAGAGGGAGAAAGGGGGAAGCGTGGAGAGATGTCCTGGTGCACCTGCACATTCTGGCTTTTGTTTATTTTGTATTAATTATTTTTTACAATTTTAGGATTTTTATTTTTTGGAGACAAGGTCACACTATGTTGCCCAGGCTGGTCTTGAACTCCTGGGCTCAAGCAATTCTCCTGTCTCAGCCTCCCAAAGTGCTGGGATTATAGGCATGAACCACCATGCCCAGTTTACATTCTGGCTTTTAGCACTTACTCTCAGCAGGAATATTGAGTAATGGTTGATCCCAGGGTGAGTGAGACCAGTTTCCAAACCCTGCTGTGTTATCACCTTGGGCATGTGGCTTAGAGTCTCTGAGTCTGGCTTTTTATCTGTGGAAGGGAAGAGATTGATTTGTTGTGGGAACTCATGAGATTATTTCTGTAAAGTTCTTGACACAGAGTATGAAATAAGTGAAAACTATTGTTTTACAGTTAATCATTGTCATTCCTGCAAGCTGCAAAATGACCAAAGGCAGAGTGCATAGGTTCTGGGTTCAAGACCAGGTTCTGCCTCTCACTAGCTCTGTGACCTTGACCAAGTTGCTTCACCTTCCATGATCTATAACATGCAGGTCATAAGGGTCCCTGCATACCCCTGCCTCTTACAGGGTCATCTGGAGGTCCCTAGTATAGTGCCTGGCACAGAGAAGCGCCATATATGTATAGGTGATTATTATTACCAGGCTGTATCCCCATCCTCAGAGCCATGCTGTCTAGTAGCATTATCGTGTGACTTTTGATGGCTGAACCCTACACCAAATCCAGGTTCCCAGTAGAATGCATGTGTGCCCCCCTTGATAACCCTGACACAGGTCACCTTGTCCAAGGAACTGTCCACTAGGTAGTGTGCCACGCATGCCACAAGATTGAGAAAGATGAGCCCAGCAGGGGCGAGATCATTTAGGACCTTACAGGCCATGAAAGGGAGGCTGAATTTCATTCAGAGCACTTCTCGCATGTCCCTAACCTTTGTTATAGCATTTACATAGAGACTGGATCCCCCCTTCCAGGTGACGCAGGGGATTCTGTAACTTGTCGCTCCTTTCCCTTGCCTGCCTGGCATAGAGCAGGCTTTTGGTCAAATGAAGTGAAAAATAACAATCTCCAAAGTACTTTAGAGAGGCCCCTGGCTGCAACAGCTGTCACCCAGTCATTGCAAGGGCTAACTTAGCTCTTGGGCATCCTGGTCTGGTGTCCCTTCCTTCTCATGTGCCCAGGGGCTTTTCTTCGGAAACCAGAAGTGAGATCAGAGAGGCTTTCACCTTTCCATGGAACAGAGCCTTTCTTTGGCTGAACCACTTGTAGTTATCATGAGGATTCAGCTGCTTGATTCTATTCCTGGCGTCTGTCCCTGTCTCCGCTTGACTCACGGCTGGCTGCTCGGTCGGCTGGTCAGTCTGCTTTCCTCTAATCTATAAACTCCTGAGCACAGTGAATTTTTTCTATTTTGTTCACTGCTGCACCCTCAGCACCAGTGACAGTGCCTGACACATAGTAGATGCTCAATAAAAATGTGTTGATCGAAGTGAGACAATTCTAAGAAGAATGTGTATTCTGTGCAAGAAAAAAAATTAATTTCTCAGACCCAGTGATCCTATTTTTCTCTTTGATCCACATGCATGTCATTCTTCCAGGCCCCAGGGGCTTTGCACACACTGTTTATTTCCTTTGACTACAACACCGAAAAACCCAGGGCTTCAGAGCAGCATCTCTGTTACTTCATCTCACCGAACCTACTTCCTTACCCTTAAAACGGCCATTCTGACATCCAGGTGGTTCTGAGAATTAAATGAAATAATGGATGTCAAGTGCCTGGTACAGAGCTTGGAGTATCATTAAATGGTGATTCATGAACTCTACACTTCCTCCAAGGACCAATCCAGATGTCAGGTCATCTCTAAAATTTTCTTTCTCACCCCATAGGCAGGGATCGTCTCCCTCTTACTGAATGTTCTCACTGCATTTTGTTTAAAATGATAAATCATTTCATTCCCTACATCAGCCATTGGGCTAAACAATCTCTTGAAGGCCAAAGACAAATTCTCCTCAACCTTTGTATCCTCGGGGCCTGGGTGACAATAAATGCTCACCAAATGTTTATGACACACACTAATGAGAATTCCTGTCCATGGCCTTGCCTCATGGAAGTGTGGAAAGTCGCCAAGTCACTTTCCGGGCCTCTAGGACACAGTGTGTCTGTGAATCAGGAATTGCCTGATGAGGTTTGACCTACTCTGGAACAGGTTGGGACTCAGCACCTGCATCTTAGCAAATGTCCTCCTGCCTTGAAAGTGACTGATCTGAGTTTGATTCTTTGCTTCTCCAGTGACGTGCAAGATGATTTTATCACACCATGTGGGGCCTGCAGGCAAGTCATGAGAGAGGTAAGCAGCTTCTCTTGCTTTCTGGAATGTAAAGCTGATGCCCCTTTATTGTCCCAGGCAATGGAAACAATGTCAGGCAGCCGGAGAAGAGACACAGCTACTGTCCTGTTTGCTCAGTTGACTGATTTCTAAGGCCTTTCCAACCTTGCATGAAGTGCTGAAAATTATTCCTTCATTCAACAAAAACTTATTGAGTTTGTATCTACTCTGTGCCAGTCTATGGAGAGACAGCAGGGAAAAGTCAGGCTAGGCCCTGCCCTCACCGAGCTTATCGTCTAGTACAGAAGACAGACAATAAATAGAAATAGGGAGCAAAGTAAATAAACAGTGGCATTTCTGAGAGCTAAGAGGGCACAAAGAAAAACATGCAGGAAAAGTAGTCAAGTGACAGAGGGGCAGCAGACGACGCTACAGATCACAGGTCAGCAAACTACAGTCCGCAGACCAAATCCAGCCTGCTGCTTATTTTTGCAAATAAAGTTTTATTGGAACACAGCCATACCCATTCATTCACCTATTTTTTTTTTTCTTTTCAGAGTCTCACTCTGTCACCCAGGCTAGAGTGCAGTGGCACACTCGTGGCCACTGTGGCCTCGACCTGCCAGCCTCAGGCGATCCTTCTGCTTCAGCCTTTCAAGTAGCTAGAACTACAGGCATGTGCCACCATGCCCGGCTAATTTTTTGATTTATTGTAGAGACAAGGTCTTGTCAAGTTGCCCAGGTGGGTCTCGAGCCCATGGGCTCAGGCAATCCTTTCACCTCAGCCTCCCAAAGTGCTGGGATTATAGGCATGAGCCACCACACCCGGCCTCACCTATTTATGGCTACATTGGCCTAACAGCAGCAGGGGTAAGCAGTTATGAAAGGGCCACATGGCCTTTAAACCTAAAATATTTACTGCCTGACACTTGACAAAAGAAACTATCAACCTTGGCTTAGATGACCAGGAAAGGCCTCTGTTTGAAAAACAGTAGGATAGGATGTCAGAGGCGTGGGCTGAGCCCGGATCACAAGGGACCTTGTAGGCTGTGGGACAGAGGGTATATTTTATTCCAAGAGTAACAGGAACTTAAGCGTATACTTAAGCATTGTTAAAATGACTAATTTTGTCGGACGCGGTTGCTCACGCTTGTAATCCCAGCACTTTGGGAGGCAGAGGCGAGAGGACTGCCTGAGCTCAGGGGTTCAAGACCAGCCTGAGCAACATCTCTACAAGAAATCAAAAAATTAGCCCAGCATGATGGTGCATGCCTATGCTTCCAGCAACTTGGAAGGCTGAGGTGGAAGAATCACCTGAGTCCAGCAGGTCAAGGCTGTGGTGGCCACGAGTGTGCCACTGCACTCCAGCCTGCCTGGGTGACAGAGTGAGACTCCTTCTCAAAAAAAAAAAAAGGCCAATTTTATGTCGTCTATTTTACCACTTTTTTTTT